GTGGCCTCCGATGGACTTGCCTCTGTGTGCATCCAGGCATCGGGACAGCTGGGGACTAAGGACTGCTGATGGCCAACGCCGGGCCATCTACTGAGCTCAGAATTCGCTTCCTGTGTCCATTCGGCTCATCTCCTAATTTTTCTGCCCAGGGTCACAACTCCCGTGCTTTGCTCTGGTCATTCACTGCACATCCCAAGCACTTACCTCTGTCAGTTCCCAAACTGTCACTGTCTCCTCGTCCCCTCACTGGGTCTGGGCTCAGCTCTGTGGAAAGGGCCTACGTGGTCCGGTCAAGTACGGGTTATGCATTTCCAACCCGGATTGTAAGGGCATTATCTAATAAACAAATGAAACACGTTTTATTCTGCATTTCTCTATTTTCCCCGGAACCCCAAGGGAACAGAAAGTTCTATAGAGATTAGGTCAACCTGCTTAGAAAATCAAGGCAGGAGCGGAGCAACACAGGAAGCTGGGATTGAAACACATTGAGCCCTGTGTGTCTGTCCTCTTACAATCGAAACAGACATCTTTTTGTCGTGGTGGACGCCCTATGGGCACAGCAAGCCGGCTTTGTTTCAATTCTACTTGCTACAAAATAAAAAAGTCTGATGAAAATCATCAGTGGCACAAGCCTGTAGGTCACCCCTTTAGATTTAGGGGCACATGAGGGGAGCACCTGTGGAAAACGTTGGCTATGACAATTTATTTTTTATCATTTTTTAATGTTTATTTTTCAGAAAGAGAGACAGAGACAGAGCGTGAGCAGGGGAGCGGCAGAGAGAGAGGGAGACCCAGAATCCGAAGCAGGCTCCGGGCTCTGAGCTGTCCGCGCCTAGCTCTAAGCAGGGCTGGAACTCAAGACTGTGAGATCGTGACCTGAGCCAAAGTCGGATGCTTCACTGACTGAGCCACCTGGGGGACCCAGACAATTTAGAATGCCCAGATTATAGGGGCTGTTAAGCTGTGACTTTGTTGCAGGATCCTAGCCAGGACACTTTAATTCCTAGCAGGTCTGCACAGCACTAATTAGCAATTCCACACTCTGCAAACCCCTATTTCCTTCCCCATCAAACAGAACGATTCCTGACTCCCATATACTTACTGGAGATTTAAGCACCCCCTACACTGATCCATAACAGGGGCTGTGGTTAGTTACCTCAACACACCGTCTCACCCATTTGGCCTTCTCTTGATTTTGAAATAAACTTAACCTACTGAAAATAAAATTTAGAAATCCCTTCGCTGTGAAGTCAAAGACCCTGACGTTTCTTCTTCTCTTTTTTTGGTCAGTGGGTGGCTTCACCATTCTAATTACAGAGATTAGTTAGAACCAGGCACTTGCTGGGGCGCCTGGGGGGGCTCAGTGGGTTAAGCATGGGGTTCTTGATCTCAGCTCAGCTCATGACCTCACAGTCTTGAGTTTGAGCCCGGCCTGGGGCTCTGCGCTGACAGTGCAGGGCCTGCTTGGGATTCTCTCTTGGTCTTTCTCTGCCCCTCCCTGTCTTGTGCACATGTGCCCTCTCTCTCTCTCTCTCTCTCTCAAAATAGATAAACTTAGAACCAGGCATTTCCCTGGACCCTTCAGCACAGACCAGGCAGGTGCTGGTGGCATTAACTGAGGCAAGGAGACAGTGGGGACATGCAGGAGAGGGGTGTGAGAGGAGGTCTGATAAGTCTGGGGAGGTGGGGGGGGGCAGACATCCAGCCAACACCCCCCACCCCCATCACCTTGTGGGGGGGGGATCAAGTGTGAGGCTCTGGGCAGCGGAGGTAAGAGCAGGGAAGGATAGATGTCCACGCACTTGCAGGGCGGAGCACAGGGGCTGAACGGACCGGGGCTGAGCGCAGGAGCGAGTGGACGGGCGGAGGGGACCAGGGCCCAGCGGACCGGGGCCAAGCGCAGGGGTGAGTGGACTGGGCCGAGCGGACTAGGGCCGAGAGGGCCAGGGCCCAGAGCAGGGGCAGAGCGCAGGGGCTAAGTCGACGGGGGCTGAGCGTACCGGGGGCCGAGCTCAGGGGCCCTCTGCAAACTCCAGGAAATAACTAGTGGGGGCGGCAGCGGGGTGGGGAGAAGGAGGAGGCCAGATGGACGGAAAAGACCCCACAGGGAAGCAGCAGGAGACACCCGGACCCCAGCCCAGTGCAGGGAGTCACAGGCCGGGGCTCAGGTCAGGGTCACAGTGATGGGTAGGGAGATAAGATACAGCCTTTACGGCTGCAACCACAGAGGCCCGGAGGCGGAGGAGGCCGGGGCTGCAAGGGCACAGGCCATCCAGGTCTCCCTCCCCAGCGGGACCCCTAGAAGGGCCTCAGGAGCAGCCACCCCCGCGCCCCGGTACCCTGGACCCCTGGACCTGCGCCCCCTCCCCCCGCGAGGTGGCCCCGGGGGCGCAGGGGCGGGGTCAGGTTCCGGGCGTAAGTCCCGGGGCGGCGCGCGGTCGGGCGGGGGCGGGGGCGGGATCCGAAAACAGGGCCCGCGGTGCGCATGTGCGGGAGGCGTCCGGAGTTTCACTTTGAAACTTTTCGGGGGCGGGACCCGCCGGTCAGGTGCAGCCGCCGCGCGGGCGCCGCAGGTACGGTGGGCAGGGGCGCCGGGTCGGGGTCGCCCGCAGCCCTCCCGGGGCCGAGTCCAGGGTCCCGGCCCGTGCGGACCCCGTCTCCGGGCAGGGCGGGGACGTGCTTCTCTAGCTTCCCCGCAGCCGTCTTGGACCGCCCCGCCCCCCGGGCCTTCGCTGGGGGGGCTGACCCGGCCGGATGGGGAGCAGGAGCGCAGCCGGGGAGGGGGTGGCTCTTCCTTCTCGGACGCCCCCCCCCCCGGGGGGTCAGGGGGGAGCCACTGGGCCCGTCCCTCGGTGACCCCTGCCCGCGGAGTCCAGGGAGGCCGGGGTGTGGGGGGAGGGGGCCTTGCAGGGAGGGGAGGAGGAGGAGATCTCCACCTGGAAACCCAAACCGCCGGGTTCGGGGACTTGATAAGACGACGGGCTACCTGAGACTCCGGGGCGGCCTGCACGTCCCAGCCCCGGGTGGGGCGGCCGCTGGCGCAGGACTTGCCCGGGGTGATTGACCAGACGACCTCGAGCTTCCTTCCAGGCCCAGGAGTGCCTGCGCGCCACCCCCGCGGTGTCCAGGCGTCTCGGTTAAGCCAGGGGGCTGTGCCCACCAGTGCAGCCCGGGGCACAAGGGGGCAGGGGAGGGAGACCCGCCTTTCTGAGGCCCTGGCTCCTGCTCCGACAGGACTGAGGCCGTGGGGGATGGGGACAGACTCCAGATCATCCCGAACCCGAGAAACAACCCGTGTTGTTTCTCCTTTCCCTTCCGGCCCCGCATCTCTGGCTTCCTCCCTCCTCTCCTCCCCGGACACCTGTCACAGCCCTGAGTCGCTTCTGCCTCCACGTGGACGTGAGCAGAAGCAGAAACCTCTCTTCACACCACCTCTTTGTTCAGTGTTGGGGCAAAGGTCTCCCTGGCTGTTCCCTGGGCTCTAACAGGGGAAAAACCTGGACCGGGTGCTGACCTTGTGTTTCCCATTGGCTGGAGGAGTGACTTAAAATAAAAGCCAGGAGCCTTTGGGTGCTCACGGACCAGGCGCTGGGCTGAGTGCTTCATGCCCACGGTCTCAGGCGTGTGCCTCCCAACAGCCCGGGTTAAGAGAAATACCACCGCCCTGTTTCACAGGGATGGAAGTCAAGGCACTGAGCGTGTGAGCCGCTGTCTGAGCCCAAACTCCAGGGCTGCTCAGGTATCTGCTGGGCGCGCTGCCTCCCACTGTACCAAAGGCTGGGCCGTTTTCTTGACGCTCCAGGGCTGACATCTCTGGAGGTGGACAGCTGTCCAGGTTCCTGGGTACCCCCCCCCGCCCCCCATTGTGTTTCCTTCACAACTTTCTTCTGCGTCTGGGAGCTCCAAGTCCGCCCCTCCTGTGGTGGAGGGACCCGGGCTGTTTGTGGTCTTGTTATTGTAACAAAACCGGAAGATCTGCGATGGTCAAAATACCCTGAATTTGTGTGGGGCCTTTTTGTAAGAACTGACGATGCTCACGCGCCTGGTGCTACGTTCTGGCGTTTCCGGAAGGAAGGGGGAGGTGGTCGGGTGCGCTGTGTGGGCCGGTCCTTGCTGGACACACGTGGGCCGTGGGTTAGCACTGTGGCAAGTGGGAGACCAACTGCCGGACCCAGCCCTCCCTCCCAACGGCCACGGCCAGGCTCTGGGGTGCACCTGGGCTGAACTTCGAGCTGGGGACCCGAGTCACCTGCTGCTCCAGGGGCTGCAGGGCCTCCACGGTGACTGTGGCTTTCCTGCCCTCACGTTGGTGGTGGGAACCCCCCGGAAGGCATAGATACGTGCTAGGCACTCACGTAGGTCTGTCTACGCACACAGGGAGGACTGCGCATCCATGAAGGAGGGCCTCCTCCCCAGCCCGCGAGGCTGCCCTGTGCTGGCTGTGTCCCCAGCGCCCTGTTGGGGAAAGTGCAGGGGAGCTGGCCCTGGAGGGAGCGCGACCTTTCAGCAGAGTTTGGACGCCGTGTGTGTCCAGCGCAGGGACAGTCCACGATCGAGCTGAAAGGTCTGAGAGAGACCACCACCCTCCAAAGCTGTGCCCTCCCCCAGAAGGGGGCTGGCTCTGGGGAGCCCAGAGGCCCCCCCGACCAGGCTGGCAGTCTTTGCTGGCCGACCTGGCCAGTTCTTATCGGACTGTGTAAAACCAGCCAGGGAGCCAGTTTGGCAGGAGGGCAGGGACCCAGAGGTGTGCCCAGGGTGGAAGGGGGTACAAGGAAGACGAGCCTCGGGGGGCTTCCTCCCAGGGGACCTCTGCTCTGCTCAGCCTCAAGCAGCATCGGCCAGGGCCGCTCACCCCCAGTAGCCACTCCTTTCCAGGGACAGTGCTCCCTCTGTGAGCATTTTATGGGCGTGATTTTTCCTTTCCACTTTACCTTTCAAGCCTTCCCTGTTCTGCTGTGTCCCTTTTCCTGATTCTGGCCCTCGGGTAGCAGCTGCCCTTGGGGAGGCCCTTACCGGGGGCCCACAGCCACCCATGCTTCTGTGGAGTGGACCTTCCCTGGGCCCAGCGGGGCCTCGAGCCAGAGGTCAGGCTGCTGATGCTGGAGGAGGAGAGAGGGGCAGGCAGCACAGAGGAGCGCCCAGAACCAGTTTGGGTGGTGGTGGGGGATTGGGGGGGGGGGAGCTGGGCGGGGGAAGCAGTGTGGAAACACCAAAGGCTGCATGTGAGGCCCTGAGTTCAGAGGCTTGGGGCGGGCGTGAGCCAAAGCGGAAAAGGCAGCTCCTGGTGACTCTGCGTTCCTTCAGGGAGGCCTGGAAAGGCCGTGCGGCCCGGTCCTGGGGTCGGGAGAGCCCAGCAGGAAGTGAGTGGCAGGCCTGAGGCAGCTTGGGAGGCGGCCGGGACTGTTCCTGTCTCTGCCGGCACTGGCTGAGGACCTCGCCCAGGGACTCGCCCGCAGTCCTTCCTTCCCTGGGCGTCTGGTATGTGTGAGGCAGGACAGGGGTTTTGGGCGGGGGCGGGGGGGGGGCAGGCGCTGGCCTCACAGTGTCAGGCCGGGCGCTCTGTCGGGGGTGGTGCCGCTGGGTGACCCTCAGAGCAGGGAAACCAAGATCTGCCTCCCAGAGGTAGTCTTTGTGAGTCTGTCGAGGGCCACCAGCTCCGTGGCTCTGGCGTCACACCGGCCGGCCATTGCCAAACCTCTCATAAGGGGTGAGAGAGTGACTCAGGCTCCTGGGTCATCCTCCCATGCCCTTGGAGCTGCCTCCTGCAGTCCATCCTGTGTGTGTGTGTGAGTGTGTGACATTGTCCCCAGCCAGCCCGTCCTGGGGGTCGAAGTGGCAGTCACCACCCCAGCCGCATCGCCAGGTAGTCCACATATCTCCGTCCCTTTTCTTCTGGTCCCCAAGATTTTTGTCCCCGTGGCAGGTTAGAGAGAGCAGACCTCGCAGAAGCCCCCTGACAGACGAGTCGGAGCTTGAGGAAGGGTTGCTGAGTTATCGCTCCCGGCTCTCCAGCCACAGACGGTGTGAGGGGGCGCTCATTCGGGGGCCTTCAGGGGCCTTCGATGACAGGGACAGACACTGGTGGTTTCCTAGCTTCCCGGGGCTCCCAGAAGCCTCAGAAAGGAAAGGTCTACGAGCAGCCTGGAGTAACCTGGAGTCGTATTTGCTTTGAAAAGGCCGGGCCTTCCTGTTAGACTGGGGAGGTGGGGGGGGGGGTCCCCCGGGGGGGGGGGGGGGGTCCCCTCCTTCCCACCTGCTTCCACCACCCCCCTTGCCCTTTCTGGCTGCCCCTTCAGGGCTTTCCTGGAGCTGACATGTGTATGCGTATCTGGATGGACGTCCCTTCCTCCTGATTTGTTTCTTCCTGCGTTTTCGTCTTTCCCACCTTTATCTCCCTTGTTTCTGTCCCCTGACTGTCCCCCGAGCCCCCAGGGGCTCCCCGGGGAGGACTTTCCTGGCATGAGCTCAGGCACCTCTTAGGAGGCAGGCCCCTGTCCCCCCCCCCCCCTTCCCTGCTGTGTCCTGATGAGCTGTCCACCGGGCCATCTGACCCTTGGGACTGTTCCCACAATGGGGCTATTCTCCTGGGCTCTGCCAGGCACGCGGGGCCCGGTGCCCGCCTCTCCCTGATTGCTTGCTGCTGGCTCCCAGCGCCCAGCGGCCCCTGTGCCCACCTCGGGCCCTGCCAGCGCGGGTGGGGGACCCTCCGGGGACCCCTGGCCCTGACCATCTGCCCGGTTTGCTCTCCAGGGAGGAGGGGCACGATGAACAACTCCCTGATCCTGGAGCTGTGGCGGTCCAAGGCGGTGTCCGTGCGTGAGCGGCTGGGCATCGGGGACCAGCCCAATGACTCGTACTGCTACAACACGGCCAAAAACAGCACCGTGCTCCAGGGGGTCACCTTCGGGGGCGTCCCCACCGTCCTGCTCATAGACGTCAGTTGCTTCCTGGTGAGTCCCCTCCTGAATCGTGTCCCCCCCCCTCTTTCCGGGCCTTCTGGAAAACTCAGGTATGGGATCAGGCGTGCCCGAGTTCACACATCACCTCTGCCCCTCGCCTGCTGTACCCTGGGGAGCCTCGCTCTGCGGGTGGAGAACACGCAGCTGTCCCTCTGGTCACAGAGTCAGCCTGTTGTGTGGTGAGGCCCGTGGAAGGGGTCAGTCCACAGGGACCAGAGGCATGGGCTGGAATAGAGTGGCCGCACCTCCCAGCTTAGAAATGTCACCTCCTGTCCCCCGCTGGGTCCTGGGCCTTTTAGGGGATCAGTCACGGAGCAGAAGACACAGCTGGGGAAAGGCCCACCTTCGCGGCCTTCAGTGGCCCAGACCTGCCTGTTCCCAGGGGGTCCCCTGGTTTGCAGTATGGTGTTCTTCTCCCCCGCGGGTGGTTGGGTGGGATTCCCGGGGACCACGGGGCCCCTTCTTGTGTTCCTGCCTGTGGGGTGGCCATACCTCCCGCTGAGGGTATAAATGTGAGTAGCTCGTGCCGGGGAGGGGGTGTCCCCAGGACTCAGATCCGCCCTGTTGCCCCAGGATTTGCCTCACAGTGGCACCTTAGAGGCTGGCATGGGAACCCACCTGCCGCTCACGTCGCTTTCACGAGAAAGGGCTCTGTGGGGCACCCAGGGGGTTCAGTCGGTCAACCGTCCGACGCCTGATCTTGGCTCAGGTCCTGATCTCACGGTTCGTGGGTTCGAGCCCCACAGTGGGCTCTGTGCTGATGGGGAGGAGCCTGCCTGGGATTCTGTCTCCCTTTCTCTCTGTTCCTCCCTGGCTCGTGCGCTGTCTCTCTCTCTCTCTCTCTCTCAAATAAATAAACTTTAAAAACATTTATGAGAAGGGCTTTTAGGTGCCAGACAACCCGTTTCTTGGAGTCCACGTGTAGGTTGAGAACACCAGCCTCGGGTGACAGGGGTGGGGGGCCCGGGGGTGCGCCGGTGACGCTGAGGGCTGGTGGGAGTAACGAGAAGGGACGTTGGAGAGTGAGGGTGGACACGGCTGCAGGGGCGCCGGCGAGGGGAGCTGGGTGTCTATCAGGGGACGTGATGGGTGCACACGTGAACCAGAGTGGCCAGGAGAACACGGGTGCATGAGACACACACCCCAAGAAGGCAGCAGAGGGGGCGGCGGGGTGGGGGGGCGCTTGCCGGACCGCCTTCAGCTTTGTCCTGAGACGTGACTCACCTGCCTCCGGGAATAGTCACCAGCTTCCCCGCCCACCTGGAGACGGTCCCGAAAGGGACGCGGCCCCTGTGCGGTTCTGGCCTCTGGATTCCCTTTAGGGAGACAAAACCACATTTATTTTTATTTTTTTTTTTTTAATTTTTTTTTCCATGTTTTTATTTATTTTTGGGACAGAGAGAGACAGAGCATGAACGGGCGAGGGGCAGAGAGAGAGGGAGACACAGAATCGGAAACAGGCTCCAGGCTCTGAGCCATCAGCCCAGAGCCCGACGCGGGGCTCGAACTCACGGACCGCGAGATCGTGACCCGGTTGAAGTCGGACGCTTAACCGACTGAGCCACCCAGGCGCCCCCAAAACCACATTTAAAAGGTCAGTTCTGGGCGCCTGAGTGGCCCAGTCGGTTAAGCATCTGACTCCTGATTTCGGCTCAGGTCATGATCTCTGAGTTCGTGGGTTTGGGCCCCACATTGGGGAGCCTGTTTGGGATTCTCTCTCTCTCTCTCTCTCTGCCCCCTCCCCTGGTTGCTCTCTCTGTCTCTCTCTCAAAATAAATAAATAAACCTTAAAAAAAAAAAAAAAAAGCTTAGTTCCTAAAAAAATAAGTAAATAAAATAAAATGAAAATAAAATGAAAATAAAAAATAAAATGAAATAAAATAGAATGAAATGAAATAAAATAAAATAAAATAAAAATAAAAGCCTGGTTTGTGACCGAGGCCGGCAGGGGTAGGCGAATTGAAAACGGCTCTGTGTCACCCTCCCTGACCCTTGAAGGGAGGGGGCCTGTCGAGGCAAGACCGGGTCTGAGGACGGCCAAGGTGAACGCAGAGGAGGTGGTGTGGAGCTTACAGATTTTACAGCTGGACGGGGTTTAGAGCGATCTGCTGAGGGCCCCAGGCTGTGGAGACCGATCCGCCAGAGTCCAGGCTCCTCTGTGGGCACTGTCCCCCCTCCAGGCTCCATGCTGGCGTCCTCGGGGCTTGCCTGGGGGAGCACCCGGCTCAGCCTGGGGGAGCTCTGCTTCCTCGCTCTGTAATTAAGTGCAGTTCTGTGTAAGAGGAAGGAAGCGGGTCCTGGGCGGCTGTGAGGCCTGGTCTCACCTTCCTGCTCAGGAGCACTGAGTGCTGATCAGCGCAGGGTCGGGGGGGGTGGGGGTCCTGGCTGTTGCTGCCCTGAGAGCGAAGAGCGGGGCCGATGCTCGTGGTGAGGAGGGCGCCGGGGCCAGCTCAGGGCCGGGCTCGTGGCCTCTGTGCCCTGGCATCGGCGACAGGCGCTCGTGAAGACGGTGGGCAAAGCGTCGGATGGTTGAGCTGTGTGGCCTCGGGCGGCTCGGTGCCCTCTCTGGGCCCTTGTAGCCCCGCTGGGTTCAGGCTGGTGGACTTTGCCCCTAAGGCGGGCGTCTCTAATGAGAAGTCACTTTACTTGGTTTCTTTTCTCCTGTCAGTGTTTGATCTTGGTGTTTTCCATCATAAGAAGGAGATTCTGGGATTATGGCCGTATCGCCCTGGTGTCAGAAGCAGACAGGTAACCAGGACATGTCACCTTGAGAGCGTGAGTGTGTGTGTGTGTGTGTGTGTGTGTGTGTGTGTGTGTGTCAGTCACTGGGACGGGGCTGGGGGCCCACACGTGATGCTGACACTATGTTGTCTTCACTGAGCACATCCATCCGCCAGGCCTGGGTCAGAAGCCGTCTCTCCTCACCACAGGGGCCTCTCCCACGGCCGTGGCCTGGCCGTGGCCGTGGCCTGGCCGTGGTCGTGGCCGTGAACCTTGTTGGAGGAAGTCTAGTTGCTTTACACTCGGGGCTTTCGTTATCAGCTGAGAGGGATGCCACTCTTCTTCCTCACCCTGAATGTTGAAAGAGTGTCCCTTCTCTGACATGAGTTAGCTGGGGGCTGGGGGCGAGGCGAGCCCCCGGGGAGCTGCTCCTGTCCCCGCTCAGGGTCAGCGTGGGCTGGTGGCCCTCACTCAGCCAGCGTCGGGTGAGTCTGGTGCAGCAGGGACCCCCTTGGCTGGACGTCACCTGGGCTCCGCCGGCTGCTCACGACTCCTCAAGGGGGGACCGTACTCTAGGTCCGCACCCTGGCGTCTCCAGCCCCGGCTGGCTGTCACACGGCCTGGGACCTGGTGTCAGATGCAGGACAGGAAGCAGTGGGGGGAGACACCCCTGTGGCCAGGCTCCCCCGACCGGGCCGCTCGGCTTCCCCAGGCCGACCTCCACCCTCGCTGCACAGGCGTTGGACTGTGGTCTCTGTGCGAGGCACGGGCCACGTTGCTGCGAAAGCTCCCTGCCGCCTCCTGCCTCCTGGGTCCTGGCGTTTGCAAAAGCCCGAGGGTGTTCACCTTGCCCCGAGGGCTTCTTGGGAGCCTTAGACAGTTTTGGGGGGACTCTGGGGACATGATGTGTTTGTGGCACCCCGAGTCCCAGGAGGGGCCGTGCACTGGAAAGGTACTGAGCCTGTGAACCCCAGCAGGCCCCGCTTCCTCCCTGGCTGCAAGGCCGGGGTCAAGTCCCCACCTTCTGGGGTTTTTCTCCTCCTGTCCCCTGTCCCCCGCAGGGCACCCGGAAGGTCAAATGAGAGAGCTGCCTGTGAAGGCTTTGAAAGTCAAGGTTCTTCCTGTCTTCTGCCCCTGCGAGTGAGGTTTTGGAATCGGTTCTAGAAAACTGGAAGTGAAAATGAACATAATTCACACACCGCAACCAACCCCCCGCACACAGGGCAGGAGAGGGGAGCCCCCCCCCAGCATTCAGATGCCCGCACTCCTATTTTCTTGTCCCTGAAAGTGGGGTGCAGCTTACCATCAATGGCGGTCACACGTCCGTCTTTCTCATCGGTTCATAAGATTATTATGTCCCTTGCAGCCAGTGGTGGTGTCGATTTGATAAAACGAGGTTAATCTGACGTGCCGGGAGACGTATCGCAAACGTCAGCAGCCTGAAGTCCCCTTGGGTGGGCCCGGAGCCGAGGCCCCAGGGTCCGGGGCGCGGGGACGGCCTGCCAGTGCCCTGACCCCTTGTCACCCGGCCCACGTAATGCGGGGTTTTGCGTCTTGCACGCCCAGGTGCGGTCGCCGCCCTGGTGGGTGTGTTTCACGGGCTGAGTTAGATCTTGTCCCAGACTTAGAGGAAGGCCGCAGCTTTGGTCCCGGGCCCTCAGGGATGGCGGAATACCGGACGGAGGCTTTCAGACTTCGAAAAAGGATTTCCTGGCATTTTTCCCTTTTGTGTTCCCAGCGACTCCAGGTTCCAGAGACTGTCATCATCGTCCTCTTTTGGGCAACAAGATTTTGAAAGCGAGCTGGTTGGTATCGACCGGACAGGCGTGGCTGTGGCCGTGGTGGGGGCGGGGCAGGGCAGCCGGGTACCGGTTCGGGGGCCGACTTGGCCCCCCGCGTCCCGAGTGGCAGGTGCTGGTGGTGAGCCCCCTGGAGTTGGGACGGACCGCAGGGAGGATGCAGCGGGGAGGCCCGGGGGGTGACACGGGGTTAACTCTGAGGCAGGGGCTCCCGAGTCCCCTGTGGTCCCAGCGCTCGGCTCTGATCACACCCAGGGATCTGTGTGACGGTTCATTGCTGACGTGCCTGCTGGCGGCGAGTCAGAGGTGGGCGCCCCAGCCGGGTTCCCCGGCACCTGACCCTGAGGAGGTGCCCAGCGGGCCGGGGTCCAGCCCAGCTTTGGGGGCGGAGGGGTTACGATCAAGAGACGCGATGGACAGTCAGCCGACAGACCCTCTTCCCTCCAGAGTCCCACCTGGGGGGGGGGGGGCCTGTCCCATCCGTGAGGCTTGTTTCCTTGTGTCCGTCCTGCGTCTCGGTCAGCACTGCGGGCGATCCAGCAGAACAGTTCCAGAACCCCTCTGAGCTCTCACCGGCTCTCGGTTCAAGTTCAGGCCTCGGCCCTGGAGCAAACTGTCAAAATTTGAGAGGTTTTTTACGAGCATTCCAGGCACAGGGTGCGTGTCCCAGAGGACTGGGGGCCGGTGGACTCTGTCGCCTTGGGGACAAGCCGTAGCCTTTGCTGGATTTGGGACAAAAGCGCTGCTTTTATATAACGGGGGGTTAGATGGTTAGTGGCCGTCAGAGGAGGTGATTCTATCCGCCTCCCGGGGACAGAGATGTTCAAAGCTAATCCCTGATCTCTCCGTTCCCAGGGATGCTGTCCCTGGCTGACTGCCATCTTCCGCCTGCAGTGAGTACAGCGGGTGTGTGCGTGAGTGTGGGTGGGTGTGTTAGCGGGTGGGCGCGCGTGTCTGCCTGTCTTTCCTCGGGTGGCTTTGCCTCTGCGCTTGGCCATCGAGGAGGAAAGGAGCCGGAATGCCTGACGCCGAGATGGGTGCCTAGATGCTTCTGGGTTCGAGGCGGAGCCTCGTGTGGGGGCCGGGCACGCAGGTGGCCCACACGGCCTGCACAAGCCACTTTCCCCTCGCTTTGGGCAGGGACGACCGCTCTTAGTGTCTAACACTAGCACAGCTGGAAGGAGGCTCTTCCGGGTCTTTGAGTGCAAAGCAGAGGAATGACGGTGGCTTTGCGCCTTCAACTCCTCCGGTTCCAAGTTTCCTTGTTGCTAACGTTTGGGGCCCGTGGGGAGAAATCCTGTGAAGCTGGGAGCGGCTGGGAGCGGAGGAGGCGCGGTTTCGGAGGTGGTGAAAGAGGAGGGCCTCTTAGAATTGATGAATGCGGTGGTTGCAGGACGTCGGGTACGTCCCCCTCCCCGGGCCTCAGTTTCCACGACTGTAAGAGGGGCCCAGGCGACACAGCGGGAGAGGTGGGTCGGCCGGCCCCTGCCTGCCCACCACCGCGAAATCACGTCACTGGGACGCGTTTCCTCCTGACGCGGCAGGTCACTCCGAGCGCGGGTCCGTCGCACACAGAGAGGATTTTAGGTCTCCTAGACCCTCCCCTGACACGTGCCCACAGCGGGTGCCCGTTGGGGGGCTGCGGCCTGTGGCCACTGCTGGGTGGGGCTCAGGAGGCTCCCCTGTCCCGGCGGTGGGGACCCCACTCAGCCTGGGTTGGGTGGGGCGGCGTGAGGCACGCTGCGTCGTCATTTCATGGTAACCCACAAAGGCTGTTGGCATATCTGCTCTGTACCCCTCCTCCCTCCACCCCTCCTCCCCATACCCCCTCCTCCCCCCACACCCGCTCCTCCCCACACCCCCCCTCCTCCCCATAGACCCTCCTCCCCATACCCCTCTTCCCCTCCCCCAACCCCCCTTCTCCTCCCCATACACCCCTCCCCTCCCCATAGCCCCTTCCCCTCCTCCCAACCCCCCCTTACCCCTTCCCTCTCCCCATACCCCCCTTCTCCCCCCATACCCCCTTCCCCTCCCCATACCCCCCTCTCCTCCCCATACCCCCTTCCCCTCCCCCCAACCCCCCTTCCCCTCCCCATGCCCCCCTTCCCCTCCCCATACCCCCCTTCTCCCCTCCATACCCCACCCTGTTCCGTGCCCCACCTCCCCAGTTCCCTCTGCTGGCACAGGCATTTCTCTGGAGGGGGGCTGTCACTGGTACTCTGAGCGTCCCCACTTTGTCCCTGTAACACTGTATCAGACACTGGGACTCCGCGTGTCCCTGTAACACTGTATTAGATATGTTTTCAGTGTCCACTCCTTCCTGTTGCAGAAAGGATACTTTGTTTTAAGGCCACAGTTGCGTTCTAACAGCTGCTCGCGGCCAGTGTCGCAGGTGACACTCAAAGCATCCCCTCAGTTTCCTTGGCTTTGCCTTCCTGGCAAGACAGGGAGTCTGTCAGAGGTGTGTCTCCAGAAAACCTGTTGACGAAAGAAAGTCGGTCGGAAGTCGCCGGGTTAGGTTTGGGCCCCCATCCTGTTTGTTTAGTGCGCACGGTTGGGGGCAGGGCAGGTACTTTCTAGCAGGTGATTGGGAAGTGCAGCCGGTGTGGTCAGGTGCAAAGCTCTGTCCTCCAGGTAAACAGCACGCAGGGTAACGTCCGTCAGCAGGCTGGCTTCTGAGCATCCGCCCGGTGCCCGGCCGGCCTGGCATGCACCCCTCACTGCCCCCCGTGTGGCCCGTGGCTCCCGCCGGTCTCGCACCTCTCGGATCTGCTTTGGTGCCGTGACACCCGCTTCTCTTACCGCTGCCCGCGCAGAATTTTCCTGCTCTTCTGGAAGCCGGATCCTCAGGGAGACCCCCCCCTTTTCCCTCTGTGGCATTCTGGCTGTCAGCGCCTGGAATTTTCCAGGTCCCCAAGGGGGCCGGAGCGTCCAAATAGGGCAAGGAGGAAAGGGTGGAGCCCCCGCGAGGCCAGCAGGACACAGGGAGGGGGCCGGGCGGCAGGGTGGGGAGCCCGGAACGATTGACGTGTTGACAGAAGCAGGAGGGGCTGCGGGACCTCCCCCTGCACACGTGTCTGCAGGGATGCGGGCAGCAGGTGCCCGGGGGTGTGGTGTGGGGGGTGTGGTGCGGGGCGCTGGGAAGGAGGCTCCGGGCTTGCCCTGCCTCTGCCCTCCCGAGCTGCGAGACCGAAAGCTCCGTGTCCTGGGATGTGAGGAGACGGGACGGCCCGGCCCGGCCCTGCCGCTCACCCGGGTCCCCTGTGCGTGTCTTGGGCAGCGATGACCAGATTCTGGAGCGGTGTGGGGAGGACGCCATCCACTACCTGTCGTTCCAGAGACACGTCATCTTCCTGCTGGTGGTCGTCAGCTGCTTGTCCCTGTGCGTCATCCTGCCCGTCAACCTCTCGGGTGATTTGCTGGGTAATGTCCCCTCGTCTTGTGTGACTCACGGCCCGGGGTGGGGTTGGGGGGGGCTCGTGGGGCTGGGGCGGGCCCAGGTGTCAGTAGGCCTCGGGGTGACTCCGGGAATGTTCCCCTCTGCCTGGCCGTGCCTCTCAAGAGGCCCCCCCCCCCCCCCCGGGACCTGAGCCTGGGCCAGGAGCTGGGCCCCTGGTGTGAGCTTCGGTTCTAAGTAAGGGGAATAAAACCCCAAGACTTGTAGGATCGGGGGCCTTCGGAGAGCGTTTCATACTTTCCTGCCCCCACGCAATCACAATCGGGAGGCCTCGGTGAGTGGGTGTGGGAGATGTTCGTGACACTCAAAGTCACAGCCTGGAGCCGTGTGTCCTGCCAGTGCGGGAGGCCGGCTTCCAAAATGCCAAAGAATCCGCTTCCTCCTCCCTCCCTCCCTCCCTTCTTCTCTCCCTCCCTCCCTCCCTCCTCCCTCCCTCCCTCTCCTCCTTTCCTCCTTCCTTCCTTCCTTCCTTCCCCTCTCTTTCTCCTTTCTCTCTTTCTCTCCACCCAACACGGGGCTGGAGCTCACGACCCCGAGATCCAGAGTCACACACTCTGCTGACTGAGCCAGCCAGGGGCCCCACGAATTCCCTTCTCATGCCCAGGGATTCCCAGCTCGGTTTTGGGACCCGTTCAGGAGGATTTCAGATTCTCAAGGAATGTCACAAGAATCTCAAAGCAAGAGAAATGCCGATTGTGACTTACCCACGCGGCGGGTCGGGAAGAGGTTGTCGGGTAAAGCGGGGCCTTGGGTTGGTGCAGCTCTGAAAAGACTGGACGGCCGGTCCCTGCCCTCTGACGGGCCTGGCCGTCTTGTGCTTCCTCAGAGACCCACGGACCGAGGTGGGCCGCCCCCGTCCCCCTTCCCTAGTGTGACCCTAGGACTAAGTGTCTTGCTTGTCTGCAGACAAAGACCCTTACAGCTTTGGGAGGACGACCATCGCAAACCTGCAGACGGAGTGAGTACGGGGCAGGGGCCAGGGCTTCGCGGGCACTGCCCGCCCCGGGCAGTACTGCTGTGCGGGGTGGGGGTGGGGGGTGGTTAGGAGACGTGGAGGGCCCGGCCCCCCCCCAAACCCCACCCTGTGTGGGAGCCGGGCCCTGATGGCAGGTGTCCCCGCTCAGCGATGACCTCCTTTGGCTGCACACCGTCTTTGCCGTCATTTATCTCTTCCTCACCGTGGGCTTCATGAGACACCACACCCGGTCCATCCAGTACCAGGAGGAGAACTCGGTGAGCGAGGCGGGGAGGGTCACGGGTGGGGCCAGAGCGAGCCTTGACCCGGCCTGTTGCCAGGACACGGGAGCCGTGTGCTTAAAGAGGCCTCTGTGGGACCTGGCTGGCATGTTTGTGCTCACGGTTGACTTCAGCTTTTCGTTCATTCGTTTGTTAATTTTTTTTCATTTCATAAATTTCTTTTTGTTTAACGTTTACTTGTTTTTGAGAGAGACAGAGACAGAATGCGAGTGGGTTAGGGGCAGAGAGAGGGGGAGACACGGAATCCGAGGCAGGCTCCAGGCTCCGAGCCGTCGGCACAGAGCCTGATGCGGGGCTCGAACCCACGAACGGTGAGATCGTGACCCAAGCTGAAGTCGGACGCTCAACCGGCTGAGCCACCCAGGCGCCCCAACTCATTTGTTATTTTTAAGGTTTTTATGTGTTTATTTTTTGAGAGAGAGAGAGGGAGAGATAGCACGAGCAGGGGAGGAGCAAAGAGAGAGGGAGAGAGGACCCCAAGCAGGCCTTGCCCTGTCAGCACAGAGCCCGATACGGGGCTCGATCCCACGAACCGTGAGATCGTGACCTGAGCCGAAATCAGTGGTCGGACGCTTAACTGACTGAGCCACCCAGGTGCCTGACATTAGCTTCTAAAATTTTTCTGATTAGGGGCATCTGGGGGGGTGTCAGTCGGTTAAGCATGTGAAGGACCCCCTCCGGGCTCTGCCAGGGGAGCACCCGCCCCTCCGAGCTCTCGCTGTGTTCCGCGGGGAGGGGCGGGGCTGGGTGGGCTTGAACAGGGCGGAAACCCTGGGCCCACCTGGGGACTGGCGTGCCCTGGGGTGACATCCCCCTCCCCCATGTGTGTCTCTGGCAGGTGAGGCGGACCTTGTTCATCACGGGACTCCCCCGAGACAGCAAGAAGGAGACGGTGGAGACCCACTTCCGGTGAGCAGGGCTGTGGCCCCTCCAGGCGGGGCAGGTGCCTCAGGCGGGCGCTCTGTCTTCTCTTTGGGCGCCCAGAGACTTGGCGAAGGGCCCGGCCCTGCCGTGCGAGCATCCCATGGCCGCCGTGTGCCAGCCCTGCTGTGGAAGGCTTCTAGAAGGCTGGGGTCTAGAAGGCCTGTCCGCTGCAGGCCGCCCCGGGGGACCACAGCAGCTGGAGCACAGGCCAGGGTGTAGGTGCAGAGAAACAGCTCGAGGGCACGAGCGGGTCTCCGAGGGGGGGGCCTGCGCTGGCACAGGCGTAAGCCCACGGGTGTCTCTGGAGGGAGCACCTGCACCAAGGAGTCCTGCGGTGGAGGCGGAGGCAGGGCTCCCCTGGGGGAGGCCGTGTGTGTGTGTGGGGGGGGGGGGGGGGGCCCCCGGGCGGCAGGGGGGGGGGTGTGGAGCAGGAGAGGGGAGGGCAGGTGCAGAGGCCCCGGGACCCCGGCTGGAGGGCTTGCCCCGGGTGGCGAGCCGAGGCTTCAGTCCGAATGCGCCCCTCCCAGTCCCGCAGCCACTAACTTGCAGCGGGGACTCGGGGTGACCACGGTGTAACTCAGCACTATTTGTGGACGACGGCGATTCGTAGAAACAGAGCGAGTGCCTGATTTTGTGTGTCTGGTGGGCAGGGAGCATCGTTTAGCGGCCACTGGTGCCCGGCTGCCTGGATTCACATCTGGGCTCCGACAGCCACTCGCGGTGTGACCTTGGGCACAAGTCGCTTAACATCTCCGGCCCTTATCTTCCTCATCTGTAAAATGGGGACAGGACCTCCCAGGCTGTGGTGAGGACAGCATAGTGAATACCGCGGGAGCACCCAGCCGGTGTGAGTCCACACACAGCACACTTGTGAGGAAGGTCTTACTACGGTTGTTAACGCGGGTGTAGACGTTTGCTGGGCTGCGAGCCCCCTGCGTTCATTGAACCTGAAAGGGCTGTGATCTTCAAAAAGGGGCCACACGCTGGGTAGGATTTTCGCACGGCCCAAGGTAGGCGTGAGCCAGAGCAGACGATAGTGCTCTTCCTCCGGGTGGGCGAAGGAGGTCACGAACCGGATTCATCCGGCCCCACACGTGCCCGCTGACGTACAGCCGAGCGGGCACGAGCCTGTCAGTTTAAGGCGATTGCTTTCCTGCTGTTAAAAAAAAAAAAGGCCTCTTTGTGTTG